TATTAAGAATGAAAACAATGCCATCTGCTGCAATAAACCAATAACAAACAAAAAAAACGTTTCACTGTATGGACTTTATCCCATATCCAGCATAGACTGGCACATGCAGTGCTGCAATATTATGGTATTCTGTTACATAGCAGCTCACAAATGAAAAAACAATGCAGACGAATTATGATGTAAATGTCAGAAAAAGGCACGTCATCTGCCTTTGGAGGTATACGTGTTGTCCTTTATCTTCACACATTCTACTCCGCACCTTCTTGACATGTAACCATGTTTTTACAATGTTTATACAATTTTGTTCAATCCGTAGCAGAATATTGTCATTATGCAAGCTGTTAGCAACCAGAATCCCAATTGTCTAGCCTGTTTCAAAGTCAGCTACTTTGCTATTGTAAATTACACTACCACCTTAGAGAGATTGCAATTAATGTATAAAAAGCAGCCTATATGCTTTATTCACATGATGTCATTGTTTGAAGGTCCTGGAGCTCGCTGCAGAGGACAGAGACACTGGAGAAAATGCCCAGCTGACCTTTAGTGTTGTAGCTGGAGACCAAGAGCAGAAGTTCTACATGGTCAGTCACAAGCAGGAGCAGCGCGGCACCCTGAGGCTTAAAAAACGCCTGGACTATGAACGACACAGTGAGCAGAGGTTCAACCTCACTCTGAAGGTATGTGGAAGCTTTTCCAAAAACCACATTCAACCACACAGTCTTGCACTATAGAAGATTATTTGATTCACCTTCTGTATTGTGTCTCTGTGATTCATGGGGTTAAATTTGACTTTTGTGGAAGGAACCTTCAGTGAAGGGTAGGCAGCATGTGAAAAGAGTAGAGTCAAGACTGACAGAAGAAGATGATGAACAGAGCTGTGGTGCCTGATTTGAAGTGCTGAAAATATGAAATGGATCTTAGTAGGCGTCTGAAGTTAGGGTACATTCACATGCAGGATGTTCCTAGAAAGTTATGAGAATTGTTGAAATTGCTGAAAAAAATGGAAAAGGTTTTCGGAGATTATCTTAGCCATGATGTCAATGTATTTGTTTTTCTTTAGGGCTCATAAAACCCTCAAACCAACATGTCAGCCCTTCTGTCAAAAGCTAAGACAAAGAATTTCAAGGCGAAGAGAGTGCTATAAAGCATGTCAGTTACAGACAGGATCTTTAAAGTTCCAAAAGGCAATGTTTCATATTGGTGGCACTGAGAGGAGCTGCTGAAAAATGATCAAAAATTCTATGAACTGAAAAAAACAGCTGCAGCACACCGATGTAGCAAGTGTGATATTGCTCAATAGCCAATAAAAGAGAGAACAACAGCGGGCTCGACACTTTTTAGGTTTTCCTTTTTGTTTTTCACTATTCTCCTTTGTGGAAAATTCCTTATTGTGGATGAACAAAAATATCCACGAGCTTGATTTCAACCCAATTTTCACTGTAGGGTATGCCTTGGAAACATTGGAGCCCGCATTATTGTGGTTGATAAGATGGATGTCTTTACAGTTGAATCTTGTCTAAATGGGACTTTTATGACTGTATCTGGTTCCTATTTCAGGTTGAAGACCTGGACTTCTCCAGCCTTCTGCACTGTGTGGTGGAGGTGGAGGACTATAATGACCACGCTCCTGTCTTCATTCCACACTTACTGTCACTTGCCCCTCTACCTGAGGACATCTCCGTGGGAACCAGTGTGGCACATTTGGTTGCCAGTGACTCTGATTCAGGCCAGAATCGCGAGATCACCTATAGCCTATCTGAGGACTCAGATCCTGAAGGGCTGTTCACCATTGACCAGTCCGGTGTACTCTCTGTGGCCCGGCCTCTGGATCGGGAGGGGATAGCACAGCATCACTTGGTTGTCATAGCAACCGATCATGGGATTCCACCACTAACAGGCAGTGCCACAGTCCAGCTGCCTCTGTTAGATGTAAATGATAATGGACCAGAGTTTGAGGCGTCATACTCCCCGATAGTCTTTGAGAATGTGGCCGGACCACAGGTAGGCTTGACTGGGTGTGATCTCAAGTTAAGATGTAACATACTGATATAATGCTATGATTTGGTGACAAGAATACAGCCCAAAGCAAGCCACAACCTCTCATGCTCTCCTTTTGTGTTTAGGTAGTAAGGTTGAACCAAACTTCGACCCTCCTCCGAGCCGTGGACCAGGACTCTCCAGAGAATGGCCCACCCTTCCACTTCACTGTCCCCTCTGAGTATCGCCACAGCAATGATTTCTACCTCCAGGACAACCTAAACGGCACAGCGACCCTAACAGCCCTGAGGACGTTTGACCGTGAGCGGCAGAAAGAGTTCCTTATTCCGATCATTATGAGCGACAGTGGCCATCCAGCCAAAACGGTGACGAGCACCCTGACAGTGACCATCGGTGACCAAAATGATCACGCACATGTAGCGGGGGAGAAGAAAATTTTCATCAATAGTCACAGAGGTGAGAAGGTCATCCCTGTCTAAGTGTTCCAAGACACAGAAAAAGATAAATAAAGTGATAAAGCTCACGGTTATATGAGTATGTATCTGACTAATGAAAAAAGTCAATGTCCTTATCTCCTTTCTGAACATACTGAACTTTTTTCTTAAAGGTAGTTTTCTATCTCTGTAGGTGAAACTCAGACTCAGTGTGCAGTAACTAACATACACATACGCACACCATTTTTATTGTTTTTTTACCTCTGCCTCATTTCACTCACTGTTGTCACATTGTCACTGTCTGCATGATCTGTGTTTAAGCAGAATCTCAGATTTTGTCACAAAAAGCCTGCACAAATAATAACTGCCGTTACTACGTACTACTCTGTTGGTCACACTATAGTACATGTAGCTTTTGTTCGTATTCTTACACTAGAAAAATAGCATTATCAGTTTTGTCATTGAAAGCCATGAATGCTAACATTTTTATTTCATTATTGTCTAACTTTTTCCTCAGTTTCTGGCAAAGACAAACAATGGGCTAAAATTCAACCTGTCAAGGTCTGGCTTTAAATTTTGAAGGGTACCTTCAAAATTATTCCCACATGATTCAGAGGGTGAGGCGTTGAAGGAAAGACAGTGGAAGCAAACAGCTCTCTCTACATGATTGTAATCATTGTGCATTCATAGAGCATTTTCTGTTATGCATTTCCTTCTCCCTATTCCAGCCATCTAACAATGTCACTTATTGGTTCTGCTGGAAGGAAATGATGAATGGAGCCAGAGACATGTAGAATCAGAACTTTAAATTTTTTTTTATGTGTATATTTTATTCATTGTTTATGAAGTTAGTTTGTGTTTGGGATGTGCATTGTCATGATTCTTAAGGCTCTTGCCCTCGATGTATGGTATTAATAGTATAGCAAGCACAACACATACAGCACACGATTAAACACATGTGCATGCAGTGAGGAAACAACTATTCTTACCCTGAAAGTTTTCCTGAATAAATGGTATGCCAGTGCAGAGCAATCAAAACGTATTAATGTTTGAGTTAATGAGCATTTAAAATGGTAAACTGATATACTAATGTTATCTGTCATCAGGCCGTATGCCAACTACGGTGCTTGGAAAGGTCTATTCTCCTGATCCCGATGACTGGGACAACAAGACATATGTCTTTGAAGGACACGTGCCAAGGTAAATAGTGTCTCTTTGTTAACTAATCATTCTTTCATGCTGGCTTCGTCACATTTTAGATCTAGGACAGGAAAATAAAAGCTGCACTAGACAGTGTGTGGATGGCATAGGCAACACTAGAATTGCCATACTTGTCCAAATTTAATTTATGTATTAGTATTTTCTAATCAGAACTGTCTCATAAAATATTTCAAGTGTGCGCAAAGATGGTTGGGCATCTGGTCGGAAGACTAGAAGGGAGCTATACAAGTACGGATCCATTTACCATTTATAGTTTGTCACTGAAGAAATGCATATGTTGTGTACTGTTCTGACCTATAGTCATGGTGTGTTTTTTTTTTTTTTTAAATAGAAGTTGTTGTTGCCCTTTTTCCAAACAGAATCACCCAGCACAGTAGGTGGTGGTGGAAAAAAGGTAGCACAGTGATAGATGTCAATAAAATACATTGTTTGTACTCTTGAAGGATTGTCCTTAAGATTGTCCAAAAGCCATCATTACCATCTCAGATATTCTCTGTACAGTAGGCGTCGCCCTCCAAAGCTTGCTTACTAGTGGGATAAGGACGGAGCAAGATGTAGTCGATGCCCCACTGGTTCCATCCGGTACCCACAAGCACAAACACATACCGACTTCATGTGAAGCAATAACCAGTCCATACTCTGTCAATGTG